ATCGTATGTAAATAGCAATACGAAAAGGGGAGATGATAATCCCAGGGTGGGGCTAGAATCGAATCTCTTTTATATAAAAAAAGGAAAACCAATATGGTGCACTCACTGTGGTGCAATCTGGGTGGTGCAATCCATCTGGTGCAATCTGGTGGCGCACAGCCATGCAAAGCAATGCAAAGCAACGCAAAGCAAATCAACGCGAACCAATTCAAAGCAAAGCAGTGCGGTTGTAAAGCGCTTTACGGCAATGCAACGCAAAGAAATGCAAAGCAACGCAATCAATGCAAAGCAATGCAAAGCAATGCAAAGCAATGCAATGCAAAGCAATGCAAAGCAATGCAAAGCAATGAAAAACAATGCAACGCAATGCACAACAATGCAACGCAAAACAATGCAAACACACGCACCGCAATGCAAAACAAAACAAGGCAATTGAAATCAACGCGAAGCAATGCAAACCAGTCCAGATCAAAGCACATCAGTGCAAAGCAACGTAAAGAAAACAATGCAGGTCAATCTAATGCCACGCAAAGGAACGCAACACAATGCAAAGTAACGCAGGCCCAGGCGACGACGGAGCGGCGACAGCGACAACATAGCCGCCCGAACGAAGGGCAGACCCAGTTCTTCAGAAAAGACATGAAAACCCTGAATGCAAGCACTGTTTGGGGAACTATGCCCAAAAGCACTGGCGGTTGGGCGAGGGTCCTGACCGTGGGTTTGACAAACGAAATGCCCTCCCTGGAGCGTGGCTCTTGTATAGTCAGCGTGGCCCTGGGCTGTGGAATCTGACTGGCGTGGGGAGGGTGTGGTATACAAACAAATCTTGAGGATTCAAGACAATCAGACCGAGCGCTGAGCTGCCAAGGCTCTCTACCTGAACCTCCGTCACGCTGCTGTGCTACGCTGGCAAGGCGGCCATGTCTGCAGCAGGCAGCTCGATGGGAGGAGCAGACTACTGGACGCCCAGAGCGACAGCAGAACCGAAACCCGGCCGAGCCAACAGCGACACCGAGTTCGCGAGACCGATGTCGAATCGGACCGAACGTAGCCCAAACGGACGCAGCGGCGCAGCAACCGACCGCACGGAACCGACAGAATGCGGCCGGTTTGCGAAGCAGGAACAGTCAACATCGCATCGGAACATCGCAGCGGATCTCGCCCGCCCACCTCCCAGGCGAGGGACGCAAGTCGCACCCTTTGCAGACCAAACCCCTCGGACTCGCTGCCCTCTCTTTGTCGGATCCCGGAGGCCCCCTTGCCTCGCGATGCGGTCTGGCAGCCGCGCCTCGCCGAGCGCTTTTTCCAAGGATGCCCAGAAAGATGTTTGGGTTCGAGGCGAGATTTTGGTGAAGATTTTGAAGGTCGAGTGAAGATGTTGGTGAGGATATAGGGTTCGAGCGAAGATTGTGATGAAGATTTAGGGTTCGAGTTTGGTGAAGGGTTCGAGCGGAGATTTCGGTGAAGAGTTTGGGTTCGACGGCCGCCAGAGGCTCGGGCGGGCGACGGCTCGAAGGCCCAGCCTCCTTCCGCCGTGAAGCCTCGCGAGTGGAAGAGCTTCGCCCTTCTCGGCCTCCGTGGGGGCCCTTGCCAGGCCCCGAGGCAGCCACAGACGACGCAGGACGAAACGCCTCCGGGAACGCCTCAGGATGAAACGCCTCACGAACGGAAGAGCTTCGCCCTTCTCGGCCTCCGTTGGGGGGCCCTTGCCAGGCCCCGAGGCAGCCACAGACGACGCAGGACGAAACGCCTCCGGGAACGCCTCAGGGTATAACGCCTCACGAACGGAAGAGCTTCGCCCTTCTCGGCCTCCGTTGGGGGCCCTTGCCAGGCCCCGAGGCAGCCACAGACGACTCAGGACGAACCGCCTCCAGGAACTGGTCCAAGCTCCTTCCAGTCAGTGGACTACTACTGGTGGTCGTGCACTTCAGTGGAATTTGTCAATGCGCAGATCATATCTCGGGCAGATTGTGAGTCCAGCGTCTTGTCCTAAGCTTCCTTGCATCCGTAGCCGCGTTGGCTGCAGTGGCGCGTTTTAAGAGCGCGCCATGGCGTGGGCGGATTCTAGTTGTGGGCCAACGACCGACGACCGAGACGACGACGACCGACGACGACGACCGACCGACGACTGACGAACCGACCGAAAGACCGACCGACCGACCGAACCGACGACGACCGATAACCACCGATCGACCGACCGACCGACCGACCGAGGCGACGGACCGACCGACCGACCGACCGACGGACCGAGGCGACGACGACTGGCGACGACGACCGACGGACCGACTGACCGACAGACGAGCGCGCGGACTGACCCAGTGTGGGAGCGAGGCGTGGATACGATGCTAAGACCCTCGCCCCTGGCCCGTCAGGCCCCCCATCCCACCGAGGAACTTAAATTTCTAAAACCCCAAACCGGGTGAGGTTCCAGCTCTCCATTTCTACGGTGAAGACAATTCCAGCCGCCTGTGTCGACAAGAAGGGGCGGTTCCAGCCGCCCACCACGGGTGAGGTCCCAGCCCTTACTACGGAAACTGTTCCAGCCGCCGATGTCAACAAGAGTGGTTCCAGCCCCCAGAAAGTGTACGAATGAAAATGTTCCAGCCACCCACGGTGTCAGTTCCAGCCCATATTTCTTACCAAGCGCGAGCGTTCCAGCCACCGACGGCGTGGGTTCCACCTCCGCGGGAGCGTTCCAGCCGCCGACGGCGTGGGTTCCAGCCATGCATCTTCACCCAGCGCGAGCGTCCCAGCCGCGCGCGGCGTGGGCAGCCATGCACTTCTACCGAGGGCGAGCGTTCCAGCCGCACGCGGCGTGTGTTCCAGCCGTAGCGCGAGGGTTCCAGCCGCGCACGGCGTGGGCTCCAGCCGCGCATGTTTACCCAGCGCGAGCGCTCCAAGGCGCACACGGCGCGGGTTGCACCCATGCGCTGTTGCCGAGCGCGAGCGCTCCAGCCGCCCACGGCAGCATCTCACCAGCAAGTCAGCCCACGGACTGAAGGGCCCACGCTGCGACAGAATCACGACGTCGAAGGTCTGGGACAGCATCACAGGACTTCCTCCTCCTCCTCCTCCCTCTTCCCTCAGCTCTCCGTCCCATCATCGTCAATATGCTCCTACACTTCCTCATGCCCTTCCCTCTCCATCTGTCCCTCCATCCCTCCAGGCTGGTCCCTCCTCCTGCTACTCCTGATTAGCCTCCTCCACCCTGTGGAACATCTGGAATCGTATGGCGTCCGCCGACCCCCCAGGAAGCCACCAGAAACGTTCGAAGGCATCCTCTCTGCGTCCCGTCGTCTTCTTCGTACTGTAAGTTTCGTCTTGCTATTTCCCCAGCCTGCCCATCCTCGTCCTACTCCTCTCCTCCTCCTCCTCCTCCTCCTCATCATCATCATCATCATCATCATCATCATCAGTATCATCATCATCATCATCATCATCATCACCACCACCACCACCACCATCATCATCATCACCATCATCATCATCAGCATCATCATCATCATCAGCATCATCATCATCATCAGCATCAGCATCATCATCATCATCATCATCATCAGCATCATCATCATCATCATCAGCATCAGCATAATCATCATCATCATCATCATCATCATCATCATCATCATCATCATCATCATTATCATCAGCATCACCATCATAATCATCATCATAATCCCCTCATGCTCCCCCTACTACTCGTCTTTCTTCTCTTCAGAACCCCAGAACCCCTCAGAACCACTTCTAAAGCCCCCTGGGATCCAGCAGCACCCTCGTAGAGCAAACATAATCCCCAACCACCCCTTGAACCCTCAGCACTCCCTGAACACCTAAAAGGCGCCTCCTCCTCCTCCTCTTCGTCCTCCTCATCACTATCGCCGTCATCAGCCACATTCCCTTTCCTCTCTACATGACAATAACACGAGTCATCGCCATGAACATGATCAGGATCAACGTCACAACCCCAGTTCGACACACGGTTGTGATCATCATCATCATCATCATCATCATCATCACCATCATCATCATCATCATCATCATCATCATCATCATCATCATCATAAGCAGCATCATCATCATCATCAGCATCATCATCATCACCATCATTATCACCAGCACCATCATCGGCACCATCAGCATCATCACCAGCACCATCGTCATCATCATATCCAGCATCACCATCATCATCATCAGCATCAGCAGCAGCATCATCATCATCTCCGCCACCACCATCCTTATCGTCGTCATCATCCTCAAACTCATCCTCACGCTCGTCACCATCCACATCAGCAGCGTCGTCGCCATCGTCGTCATCACTGTCATCCACGGCGCCCGCATCGGCAACAGCAGGCTCGTCATCACTACGTCTACCATCCTCAACACCATCCCCATCAACATCGTCATCCCCATCGTCAACTTCATCAACAACATGTTCATAAGCACTACGCTTACCATGCTCATCACCATTTTTCTCACCAGCATCGCCGTCACCACTGCATCAGCAGCACCGGGTTCATCATCACTACGCTTGCCATCCTCGTCATTAGATCACCGTCCACATCAACCTTCGCATACTCGGCCTCCTACTGCATCTTCCTCGTCCTGGTCGCCCTCCTCCTCATCCTCCTCCTCTCCTCATCCTCCTCCTCGTCATCCGCCTCCTCCTCCTCCTCCTCCTCCTCCTCCTCCTCCCTCCCTCCCTCCCTCCCTCCTCCCTCCCTCCCTCCCTCCCCCCTCTCCTCCCTCTCCTCCCTCTTCTCCTCTTTTCTCCTTCCTCTCATCCCTCTCCTCTCTCTCTCTCTCTCCCTTTTTTCTCTTCCTCCTCCTCCTCCTCTTCCCTCCTCCTCCTCCTCCTCCTCCTCCTCCTCCTCCTCCTCCTCCTCCTCCTCCTCCTCCCCCCACCTTTCCTCCTCGCCCTTCCCATTCCTCCCTTTCCTCCACGTTCTGGCTATACTCTCCGCCCTCAGTCGCGATGCAGTCTCTCGTCAGCATGCCCCCGCCTGACAGCCAGACAGCGGGGCACTCCCGAACACCACGGAGCCCGCCGTGAGCTCCGACACCTGTGGCGCCAGCGCCAGCGCGCCAGCGTCGTCGTGGCTCGTCGTCGTCAGCTTCTTCGGCGTCGTCGGTGTCAGCGGCGTCGGCGTCGGCGTCGGCGTCGGCGCCGTCGTCGGGGTCGGGGTCGATGTCGGGGTCGGCGTCGGCGTCGGCGTGGCAGTCGGGGTCGGGGTCGTCGTCGTCGTCGGCGTCGGCGTCGGCGTCGTCGTCGTCGTCGTCGAAGTCGTCGGCGTCGGCGTCGGCGTCGGCGTCGGCGTCGGCGTCGGCGTCGGCGTCGGCGTCGGCGTCGATGTCGTCGTCGCCGTCGTCCTCGTCGTCGTGGCTCGTCGTCGTCGTCGTCGTCCTCGTCGTGGTCGTCGTCGTTCTAGTCGTCGTCGGCGCCATCGTCTTCCTCGGCGGCGGCGCCGGAGGAGACGGTGGGTAAGAGGGGGAGGACCAGGGAGGTTTGGGGAGGTCCCATTCGGCTTTGAAAAACGCTGGGGGTGTTAGCCAGCGTGGGCCTAAACACTGCGCTATTGTACTGTGAAGGCGGGAACTCTGCGGTGCAAACTTTGCGGTGGAGCTGACGTGTAAGCTAGTGGGTGGCGGGTGGTGTAAGCTCTGTTGTGATTTAAATGCGTTACAAATGTGGAGGGTTCAATCGAATTACCATTGTTAAAGAACGCGGAAACTCGAGTCGGCAAGGTTTAATGGTCGAGAACCCGGGGAAAAACATGGTACCCCAAAGAAAAACAATTCGAAACCTACGTTTCGTTGTCCTCGAACAGCCGGAGCGCGGCGGCTCACAAGACACGCGCACATGTTCAAGAACAAACACCCATATAAGACATCGAAATCGTGAGAAAAATGTTGGTCGCCTCGTCGCGGCCGTGTTGGAAGAGGAAGCTCTACGCACGTGCGTTCACAAGCTTGCGTGCACGACGAGGCTTGCGTCCATCACGGCCGAAGGAAGCTCCTTGGACGCTGAATTGCGCTTGCAAATCTGCAAATTGGAAAATATGTCGCGGTACCCTGCCTGGAAGCAAATATGATTTGTAGAATGCCTTTTATGTGGTGGAAGCGATGTTATGCATTCCAAGGGGGTAGAGTCCATTAGCTTTTAAGGAAGGGGAGGTCTACGCGGTGCAATCTGTACAATGCAGCGTATGTGGTGCAATCTACGTGTTGCAACTTACGCGATGCATCCTACGTAATGCAATATATGTTGTGCAACCAACGTGGTGCAATCTGAGCTTGTTTTTTATTGTTCGGACCCGTAACGCCCGTTACGGGGGGGGTCCCGCCCCCCGCCCCCGTAACGGTAACGAGCGTACGGGGACGGGGGTGCGAGCCCCCCCTCCGTCCAGGCAGGCATGCTGTGACGCTCACATGTGTGCTCAGGTTCGAGGTTCGAGGTTCGAACCTCGGCGAAAACTCAAAATGGGTCCACGGGGCCCGACTGGGGCTCAGACGCACCAGTTTCCCGAGCCGCGTCCAGCCGCGGCGACGACGAAGGCCCTCGAGGGCCAGGATGCCTCGATCCTCGAAGTTCGAGGTTCGCATCCCTCGGCGCGAACCTTTCAACGGGTTCCGGCCTGGCCCCTCCGCCTCCTTTGCCTTGCTTCTGCACTCCCTCCAGTGCTCGTGTTTCCCACCTCCTCTCACCTCCTGGGGGGAGGGGGGAGCGAGGCAGAGGGAGGAGGAAGAGGAGGAGGAGGAGGAGGAAGAGGAGGAGGAGGACGAGGAGGACGAGGAGGGTTGGAACAGGATCGGAGGAGGAGGTGATGGGGGATCGGAGGAGGGGCATGAGGAGGAGGAAGGGGCAGAAGAGGAGGAGGAGGAGTCATTATCCTGCGGGCTGCACCCGGACTCCCGACGCCCGCCTGCCAGCACGACGTTTCCCCGAACAGTGCGCGCACCAGGAGTTCCGTTGAAACGCAGCGCCACCAAGTGGCCCCGCCTTTGGCGCAACCTGTGGCGCAACCATCGACGCAACCTATGGCACGCCCTGAGGGCGCAACCTAAGGCGCAACGTAAGGCGCGATTTGTGGGGCGCCCTGGGTGCGCAACCTATGGCGCAAGCTATGGCACGCCCTGGGGGCGCATCCTATGGCGCAGCTTACGGTTCAACCTATGGCGCAGGTAATTGTACGCAAGCACAACGTGTGGTGCAACGCATCGGGCAATCCATGGCGCAACCAGCCGGTGCACTCCCTCCATTTTCCCTGCGCTGGTGCAAGGGGCTGGACTGGGCGAGACATGCACGCGGATGTGGCCGCATGTCCTTCCAGCGCTCGGCCCTCCTACCTCGCGCGGCTGGTCACGCCAACCCCCCGCATGTGTATCCAGCAAGTGGGCCCAAAGCGCTGCTGAAGCTCTCGGCAACTGGCTGCGGACACGGCGGCGGCGGCGGCGACGGCGACGGCGGCATCGGCGGCGACGACGACGGCGGTGACGGCGGCGGCGGTCACCTTCACCGCCGCCGCCGCCGTTTGCTGCCGTCGGCGTCGTCGCCGTCGCCGCCGCCGTCGTCGTCGTCGTCGCCGTCGTGGTCGCCGTCGCCGCCGCCCGTGTTGCCGCCGCCGCCGCCGTCGCCCCCCCGGTCGCCGTCGCAACTGACGGCGACGACGACGACGCACCCGCGTGCACGCTCCAGCCGTCGACCCATGTCTCAAGGGCCTTGTGCCTGTGCAGGGAGCTCCTGCTTCCTGTGTTCCCTAGGCTGCCGCCGCCCCGCGCGCCCCCACGGCGCGCGGTTTACACTCCGCCCCCAAAAAAAACCGTACACAAGCTTTTTGTGGTGCACACATGCCATGTGGTATACACATGCGCCACGGCTCACACCCCCATGATGTACACAGTTGCAATGGAGTGCGCAGGCGCTGTGGGCTCAACAAGTCCGAGCGCTTTTTGAACCAGAAAAACTAAGATTCACAAACAGTTCACATAATGAAAGGGACACGGTTGGGCCCCGAGCGATCTTCTGGACTTTCGCTCCGCCGGTACCTTACAGGTGTACACAAACTTTGTGGTGTACGCTGGCGTTCTGGTGCAAACACGGGGCGTTGAAACAGCAGCTGTGGTGCACGCGGGCGCCGTGGTGTGCACCAACAGTGAGATGTACAAGGGCGCTGTGGTGCACCCGCCTGTCATGATGTGCTCATTCGCCGTGGTGCACACACATACCATTTCTGCCGCAGTTGTGGTGTACAAAGGCATCGCGGTGTACAGAGCCTGTGTAGTGTGCACAGGCACGGTCGGCTTCGACGACGACAGCGGCGACGACGACGACGACGACGAAGCCTACCGTGCCGACAGTTGTGCTGGTAATAAGTACCAGGGCCCGTGCGAGGGCCCCGCCGCGCGTTACCGTTACCCCCAACTTGGGGCCGGACCCCCCCCCCCGTAACGGGCGTTACCCCCCCCCCAATAAAACAACAAACTCTATACTTCGTCTTTTTTGTTGCTGTCCTCTTCACTGCTCGTGCAAGCATCCCACCCTCCCGCCCGCAAATTTGTCGCAAGACCTCTTAAGACCGTGGCGGTAGGTACTAAGTGGCACTTGGCAACGACACCGACGCCGACGACGACAGCGACGACGACGATGCCGACGACGGCTACGACGACTACGACGACGACTCCGACGACTTCGACGATGACGACAACGACGGCTACGACGACTACGACGACGACTCCGACGACTTCGACGATGACGACAACGACGACGACGACGACGACATCGACGACGACGACGACGACGACGCCAGTGACGACGACGCCGACGACGATGACGGTGACGACGATGACGACGACGCCGACGCCGACGCCGACGACAACGCCGACGACGACGACGACGCCGACGACGACGAAGACGACGACGACGAGGACGACGGCGACGACGACGAGGAACGAGGAAGGACGACCGCGGCGACAACGACGACGGACACGACGACAACGCCAAAAAGGACAACGACGGCGACGACGACGAAAGACAGGCTGATCACGCCGACGACGGTGACGGCGCCTTCGCGTCGGTGACGAAGGTTCCCGAGGGAATTCGAAATGCGCGCGCGGCAGACGCGCGAGTTTGACTCGCATGGTATATTAGACACGGACCGTGCCACCCCAACACGCGCGCAAGGGCGTTCGAAGAGACCGTTTCTTCATGTTCGGCGATGACGGACGTATTGGGGGGGGGGCGGGGAGGGGTATGACGTAACGCCCCCCCCCGACGTATGGCTCCGGCACCACAGCCGCGCCCGCGCGCACGACGCGACGAGCGACAAGCGACGAGCGACGACAACGACGACGACGACGACGAGGACGACGCGAGCAAATGTAGGTGGCGATATGCCCGACTGCGCCTGTGTACACATCGCTCGCATGCACCACAACGCGCGCGAACACCACAACACCTGCGTACACCGCAAGAACCGTGTGCAACGCAGCGCCTGTGTACACCACACTGCTTGCGTACATTACAGCGCCGATGTACATGTGCACACCGCAACAACCATGTGCAACAGAGCGCCTGTGTACACCACAATACCTGCGTGCACCGCAGCGCCTGTGCACGCCACAGCGCCTGTCTACACCACAGCACCCGCGTGTAACGCAACGCGACTGTACACCAGTGGCTGCGTGCAGGCAGTGCTGATATACGAATGCGACGTTCTTCCCTCTTCCCTCCTCCTCCACCTCCACCTCCACATCCTTCTCCTCCTCCTCCTCCTCTTCGTCCTCCTCCTCCTCCTCCTGCTCCTCCTCCTCCTGCTGCTCCTCCTTACCCCCTGTCGTGCGGGGAGACGCTACAGCGCACGTGCGCAATTCAGCGCGCAATGCACCGCATAATGGTCGATTAAATCGGTTCACTTGGTTCTCGCACGGCCAACTTAGCTGGAGCCTCCTGGACGCAGATGGGAGGGTGATGCGGGCGGACTCGGGAGAACTCGTAGATTCCAGCGGCGCTCCTTTGTCCACAAGGATTCTTTTTATATTGTTCTCTGTGGAACCCACGAACGCT